CTTTTTATTAAAGACGTATATCACAGATACAATTTCAAGTAGATAATATATTTAACAAAGTTATATGATCCGTTGTATTTAAACATTTCAAAGACATGAGAAGTTCGCAAAACAGGCGCTTCAGTCAACGCGGCAGTTTAACTACTCTTTGAAATGAGAGGAGATCACTCCGCATTATGGACTTGTTGAATAGCGTGGCTTTTGAGTTTCAAAAAGATCTTTGTAAAAGCCAAATTTAGAAAATATTTGATTTTGCCATTTAATAACTTTAAAGTTATAAGATGTGGTCACTCGATCTCACATGGGGTTTGAAATTAGTAAAATTATCACATATGACTTAGTTTTTAGTAATTGCATGATTATCGAAAATACTTAAGTATTTTCTTCCAAGTTTAACTTCACTTGACTTAAGTCAAGTTAAACTTGGTTATTGATTAACAAGTCGAAGTTGGCCTTGACAAAGCCGTTTTTTCAAATAATCAAAAACAATGAAGTTATACATCTATCTAAAAATGAGCCGCTAGTTTTATACAGTCTGTTTTTTTGGAACAGCAAGTTTAGATTTATTGCGGGTCTTACTTATTTACCCGTACTTATTAAAACATTTTCTAACATAAATAATATTATTCAGGATGAACTGTAAAGCAAAAGCTAATGTTAAAAAAAGATATTTGAATTGAACTTACGGTCTGATATTATTTATGCCACGAATGGCTCTTTTTTGTGGCATAAATATATTTACAACATCAGCTACCAATACGCACAATAATAATCCATAAGGCATCACTGAGTCGTCATCAATGAGTATGACTAAAATATTTTTCAACTATTGTTGCACAAATAGAGGATCTAAGTCTGTTTAACATGACTAAAATAAGTGTTATGCATTATAGTTGAAAGTCTATAGTAATAATTCAATAATTTGATTGTTTAACTTAATATGAGTAGCTTGCCTTACATTCGGTTAAGAAAACCTGAGGTTTTCCGTTTTGTTGGCATTCCGAAGAAATGTATTTGTTGTAAACCAATGTAATTATAATACTTGAGATACAGATTTTACCACTATAATCACCTCGATACCAGTTTTAAACACTTGAGAGATCATTTAGTTATTATCACATTATCTACTGTTTAACATGTAGTATTATAGAAGACGGCTTTCGTACACCCGGTCATTAAAAAAGGTAACCGCTCTGATACGTAAAACTACAAACCTATCGCCTTATTCTCTACAATAGTTTAATTGATTATTAACTACCAGTTCATGCGGTATCTTGAGGAGCATCAACTAAAAACTGACCGTTAGTATGTTTCCGCATACAATCGAGTGCAAGGAAGAGGCTTTGGCTGTTAGTTTGGACAAATCGAAGGCTTTCTATCGAATTTGGAATAAAACGCTTCGGTCCAAGCTTCCCGAGAATTTACGTACTTAGGCCACCAGGTTTCTCGCTGATCGAAGCAATAAGGTCATAGTCAACGTTGCATACTCCCAATCTAGCCTGTGAATGCTGGTGTTCCACAAGGCTGCCTGTTATCGACTACACTGTTCCTTCTGCATATCAGTGATAAGTTGCAAATCAGTAACAATCAGATGACAGCACTCGAGGTGCTTTATTCACTGGCCTTGCATGCCGGGACAAGCTATATAATGTCTGAAGTCAAGTTTTTGATAAATATAGTCTCATTTTCATATTCTATCGCATCTACCACGAGGAGTGCTCAGAAGAATTGCTCGGACTTGCAGCCGTTAAAATTCACCATCACATATCGCGATAAATCTCGTGATACCATATACAATCAGGATGATTGGAATTCTAATACTGTGCGATTTACCTAAAGTTTTCTCCTAGCACAATTTCTATGTAGAATCAGCGTCCACCTGCAATATTTCCAGACCAATACGACTTAGAGACCTTCAATAAAAGAGCCTACTCTTTTTTACAGACTGGCAATGCACCTGAAATTCCCCTGGTGTTGCAGTAGTCACTTTTTACCAGGTAAGCTGCGTGCTCGTTTGCCCCCTCTATTATAAAAAAAATTGAGCGTTAAAAGGCAGATCGTTTAAATATATATTAAAATGAGCAAAGGCCCCAAAGTTGACCCTTACGAGACACCCAAAATGAAAGGTGTTGAAGAAGATACAGCTTCTTTAATTAATTAAAAACTATAACTACTATATAGCCAGTTAGACGGTATGATTTTATAAAAAATTTCTAGTTTATTGAGATATCTTGATTTGTTTAATAGTGTTTCATGATTAATGCAATCAAATGCCTTTGATATGTCAAACGCCTAAGATATCCTGTTTGGTGTAACAAGCTTCGTATATTATGTGCTTGAGAAGTGCAATACCAACATCAGTAGTACTTTTACATTTAGACTAACTTAACTAACTATTATGAAATAGTTTGTTTAACGAGAAGTGACATGTCAACTAATTATAAATTACTTTTTCAAAACCTTTGTTAAGCATTGGTAGTACGGATATAAGTCTAAATTTACTGGGGTCACTTTTACTACATTAATTTAAATGTTACCAATGATTTAAAGGAGATTTATCTAACTATTTTAAAAATAATGATTTTTCCCACCCTTAGTTTCGAAAGTATTATTCATAAAGTCTAAAAAAATCATGAAAAGGTGTAGAATGAGCCAAAAATGCAAGTTTTAAAAATCTTATTATACCCTGTGAACATCTTGAATCAAAATATTTTTTTTATCGAATTTGTTTCAGCAATAATATTCACCAAATGGGAAGTGGGTCGTGAGCAGAGCGTACAAGGTTCACTATTGTTTAAAAGATTAATTAAAACGATAAGAGAAATTGATTTTACATTTCAATTGCAAATTGTTTGATAAAAAATAATTTGCAATTGTTGTGTGTTCTCTATGTTTCAATTGCAAATTGGTTTTTATTAAACAATTTGCAATTGAAACTGAGACAACACACTGGGATATAGAAAAAAAAATCGCAAATGATGTTTTCTATATCGTAGTGTTGGTAATGTTTTTTTTTTTTTTACTTTAAAAGAAACAAATTATTTGCAATGCAACATCAACGTTTAGACGGTTATGGCTATAAATGGTCTTCTCTACAATGTATTTTTGCAAATGTTGTCTGGTATAAGCCGTATATCCGTATGTAATATTTTTTTTGTTTCATTTACAATTAAAAACGCTTTTTCGCCCTAACGACCTACCATTACATGCTAAAAAGTTGTTTGAAATGTGTCAACGAACCCAAATTAGCAGGTAGTTTCCTGCCTCCTGCTGCCGGGGAAGTTAAAAATTTACAAAAAAAAACCTCAACCTCAATTTACAAATTAGCTTAATTATGAATTAAGATTTCTTAGGTATAAACATAAATATTTTAACTGAACTAAACGGAAATATTTGAAATTTTATTACTCATAACTTTAAAACAACCAGTACGTAATATATATCGAAATAAGATGGTGGTCTATTACTACTGGCCGTAATAAGGAGCTTAAAGTCGTTTAGTGAGATTTGTTTGGAGCTTTTCTTCATACAAAAGCCCAACGAATCAGTAAAATAAATTGGTATTATCACGCAACAAATGAAGTGGAAGAAATGTGTTTGAAAGATAACCTTGAAACGGTAATTAGGGTGAAGAGCGAAACCAAACTAGATTGAGTATCAACTTGCTAATTTATGCAGGTGCTCGACAGATAGAGGTGGCTTAGGAGTGTGTTTCGTGACCACGGCACAAATACAAAGAGGAGGTGTTGTAATTAGATTTCACTTTGTAAAAACACGTGACAATTTGCGGGGTGAGGGGGTATCAAGCCCTGCCCATTTAACTATTTTTCATCTACTGATAAATAGTAAAACTACTGGCATCATTCCATATCGATGTTGCAATGTAGTTTAGCTACCTTGACGATAGATGGCGACCTGTTTACAAAATGATTATAAAAAGTATAAAATAATATTTTGGCGATTAAAAATTCTTTAGGAGTGAATGCAAAACAAATATTTGTTTTTGCTCCGTGTTTTTGACAGATATTGGGGCTAATGTTCAGGTTTGGACTTGACTGTAATGGGTGGACGAATGGATAATAACTTTTTAAGTGACAGTGTAGTTTGCCGCGAGATAATGTAATTCTTTTTGCCGCTATTTCATAATATAAAAACTGAATTAATTTGGTGACCTATTTAATTTACTCTTCCGCCTGTCACTTTGATTTTTATTGGACTTATCCGGGTAAGGGCTAATTAAATATGTTCCTTCACAGTTCGTTAAGCTTAGGACCAAAACATTATTCCGTAAAACATGGCTATTTAACATGGCTATTTATTTAATAGTGTAAAATATAACATTTGCATTTAATAATTAATTTATATTAGTCGATGGATGCAGGTGGCTTATGACCGTGCTTTGTGACATTCCTTGGGGGAAGCCAATGTTCACTTGTCTATGTTGACTTGTTAAGGTAGTACTGATGATGGTGATGATGATATTAATCAGTTATAGCTTACATAAATCACACAGTTGGGCAAAGGCCTCCTTTGATTTCAGAGATAATTATGGAACAATTAGTTAACCGCGATGTTCCTTTGCGTATTGGCGGACTTGACATGTATTCGAAATATTTTTATTCATCAGACATGGAGGTTTCTTCGTGAAATTTAAAAATGTCCAATACGTTAAAATTATCATTTAATATTGCAACTAACAATTATATAAGTGCAGAATTGATAATCAATCAATTAATTTAATTTATGCGTATTTATATTTTTAACGTAATGTCTCATTTAATGTAATTTTTCGTTTTCGTCGATCGATTCAATTATTGCATTTTAATGCAGCCTATCAAAGACTGAAAACCACAGCTTTTTGTAATTCTCAGTAGATGTTGCTGTCCATATCCTACTTTATTTTATTTCCATTCCATTTTAGGTAACAACTACCTATCTTTCCTATCATCTCATTACAATAAAAAAATAACTTCTTAACACATAGATTATAAATATCTTACCAACTATTGTGGCTAAGATGATAAGTGCGAGCACCACAGACGTAACCGCCATGAGGACGAGCGACGTAACATCAGTTGTGGTGACATTTGCACTAGTGGCATTGATGGTCGTGTTGCAACCCCACGATACAGCGTCCACCCACGAACAATTACTTTCGTCATACCACTCGGACGTCGAAGGATATGTGACGTCATCTGTGAAAAAAATATTTGAATTAAGCATTTATTAGGCTAGTTTTTCTAATTAATTTTGATATTTACAAGCAACAAGATAAGTAATATTCAATCAAAGTTATTCTTAATACTTGGAGCAGGTTGCTGTTTTGTATTTTTTGTTTAAAAACTTTAAAATATACAATAAGTGCATTTCTGTAAGTAGTTTTTCTTGCAGTATATTTATGTTATTTATTTATCTTTCGACCACGGTGCCACGAATTGGGTTCCGATTAGTCCGTAAATTTAAAAATTTTAATAACTCACAAACAACGTCCGCGTTCAATGTAGTGCAAATTTGAAAAATTTATCATCGTAATTTTATATTATAAAATGGCACAAAAAAAAAACTATATCAAAAGTTAACAATTTCGCTGCTCTGGGGAAGAAATAGACGAATTCAATACAGGAGCTTAGAAATGTGAAATAGATTAATACCTGTCAAACTTTGCAAATTTTGAAATATACAATAACACTTGAGGAAAATTAAATGTCCTATTAATTAGAATCACTACTAGAAATGTTACAAATGTTGAATTATACAATAACACTTCAGGAAAATTAAAGGTCCTAATAATAAATATTTATTTAAATAAGGAATAGTTTTGGTACAATTTATCCCAGTTTTTATATTTCAATGAACATCTGTACAGTAAAAGCAAAGCGGAATAAAATAGTAATTTGTTCGATTGGCTGCTATAGAAAGAAATTATTATTATAAAATGCTATAAAACGATCAATCTCCTTTATCTTTTAAGAGTAGACTTCAAACCACTTTTATGAGTCAAGGCGGCGATTTTATGATCAAATTAAATTATACCTAAGATAAGAGTTTTCTCTATTAAGAATGAACACGGTAAAATTTTTCTTATTATAATATAAAAATTTTGATTTAGGAGTGTCATGAATTAAATAATTTTTTAATTAATTTTAACCGATCATTACTACATCATTCGTCACTTTGATAAAATTTAAAGATCGATTGCCATTTTTAACGAGTATACCTTACAATTAAGTTATTTATATTATTTATTTTTTTGTCCTTGATTTTTTTAGATTTTATAAAACTAATAAATGGTACTAATTTGTATTGAAAACTGTTTCCTACAAATTCAGCAAAATTGTTCACATCCGTTGTTAATTCTGCAAGGTGCGTTGGGCTGGGAGTCGCGAATTAAGTTTTACGCTAAATTTATACAATAATAAAACGCAAATTTTCATATAAATAACGGTAGGAGGTAATCAAATATTCTTAGAGAAGTAAACAATATTCATAAATTATATAAATTTATAAGTCCTACAAATACAACAGAATTTTCCGATAAACAAAACATAGTAGGCAAATGTTTAACCAAGCTATTGAATACGCCTTTAGAAAACTCCACAGTCACTATTTAAGTCTCTCGAAGCGGCTAAATTAAGATTACGTTGATGTTCGGAGCGAGGTAGCGGTATAAAGAATTTAACTTTATATTTTCTGATATCGTCAAGGATTTGTTGACTTTTCGTGTAAGAGGTGAAATTTATTAAATCAAATGCTTTTAGCATTTATTTTATACTACCAACAACTTTGTTACTAAACTTTACTTATAGTTTTAGTTCATTGTACAAAATTCAATAAATTTAAAGACTTATGGAATTGTATCATTTTTGTTTGTTTGGCACAAAGGTTTGTCTCTGAAAGTGTTTCACGCAAATGATTGAAATTCGGCAAAGTATCTAAATTATGCAATCACAACGAGAATAAAAATAAAAAAAGCTTTATTCCCCATCGGTTGTCAGTTCTCCGAGCTATATGGCCGGCCCACTGCCACTTCAGCTCACTAATCCGTTGGACTATGTCGGTTACTCTGGTTCTACTGCAGATATCTTCATTTCTAAGTTTATCACGCAGAGAAACCCCGAACATAGTCCTTCCCATAGCTCGCTGAGCGACCTTGAGCTTCCTGATACGGCCAGCAGTAAAGGAACACGTCTCAGATCCGTAAGTCATCACTGGCAACACGCACTGGTTGTACAATTTCGTTTTAAGGTTTTAAAGTATGTCTAACGAGAAGATGTGTCGTAGTTTCCCGAACGCTGCCCAGCCGAGTTGAATCCGTGGATTGACCACTCGGTCGAAGTTGGACTTACCTAGTCGGACTTTTTGTCCCAGGTAAACATACTCGTCAACAATTTCGAGCTCAGTGCTCCCAACAATGCAAAATTGCAAAAATGTGTCTTTGTGCAATTTATGAATGAATAATAATGAATGAAATAAATAAATAAATGAATGTAAACTGCTTCCACTATATAGGAGAAAATCCTAGTGTTAGGTAAAGTTTAAAAAAAGTTGAAACTTTCATCTACAGTTCCGAAATTTTTTATCTATATTTTAGCTAAATGTTTTTCAACATGAAATAAAATATTTAAAAATGTGTATAATATAGGAATATCACTTACGGCTGGAGTCATTTAAATCGCGGAGTGGTCGCGTATCGTTCATGATAGTACCCCCTGTCGCTCGCCCCCTGAAAACAAAATTATATCATTAAATAAGAGGATTTTATTTAAACAAACGTGGTAATATGCTTATTTTTGTAGCGTGGACTGATTGCTTACTTAGGTGCACTAAAATTGAATTTCAATTATTGAAAACATAATACTGTTGTAATTTAACACGTACTAGTACCAGTATGATTTCATGACCAATTCTCCTACCATTGTGACGTAAATCGAGTATGTAAAATGCCAAAAAGTTCGTGTAGCCTTCAATATATATACATATACATATATATATTCATTCATTATATATATACATATAAAAATATATAAAATATGTAACAAAAACCTATAGAAACCTATAGAAATAACTTTTTGTTAAAAAACTCGATCAAATTTTTTTTTAATTTTTTTTAATTTTATCTGGTTTTAATACCTCTTACTGACACTAGCCGATGCTAAAGCGAAGTAAAGCGGGGTCTTTGACAATCCTCGTACCTTGTACTCCCCAGACAATGCAGAGATAATAAAACCATATACCATGATCCTGATAACGTACTTAACGGGAACCACAGGGTTTTAGTTACATATTGTATGTATATATATATATATATATATTCTAATTTTTATGTATATATAGAATAGAATATATTTATTCTACTTTTTATGTATATATAGAATAGAACCTGCAGTGTCAAAAGTGCAACATAGTACCGTGATTTAAATTCATTTATAACGACAACTACAATCAATTGTTGCTTATATATTTTACAAGTTCGTATTTACTATTAAATATGGCTGGGTATCCTTTTTATTACTTTTTATTACATTTTTCTTTCATTTATTATTACCATAATTGTCCATTAACGTTACCGTTACAGCCTATGAAAAGTTCTCAGCTGAGTATTGGCCTCCCCGTAGACTGCCTCACAAGGGGAATATTTGCAATAGTTACCACGCCTGACAGGAAGGCTTGTAGACGCTGATACTCATCTCCTGGTTTGTTTTCCGCTGTCGTCTTTTACGATACCATCGATGGATACTGGATGTTCTTCAACTCCACTACACGGTAATCGAATTAATAACAACTATTCAGAGTCGATTCCAAGGGCTAGATTACCCAATTATAGGATTAGGGGTCTTTTACGAGCTGACGATAAAAAGAAACATAAGTACAACCAATAACAATAATGTTATTTCTTACACTTGTTGTTAAACAAAAATCTCTTGACTTCTATTTACGTTGCTATTTGAAAAGAAAAACTGTACTTAATGTAAATAAAAGAATACGTAGTTCTTAAAGTGCAGCAACTTCGAAAGAAAGTGGCGAACTATTAAGGTATTCCAGAGTTTTAGACAACTCATTTCGAGTTTTCTTTTTTTTATCGTCGTTTTTGATTCTAAGTGGAATTCATTGTTGAATGTTTAAATGAATATTCTTTAAATAAACACGATCTTCAACGATTAACTTGATTTCTCTTAGTTTTGTTTGTTATTTTTTCTACTTGACGAATGATTTTTCTTTTAAAGTAAACATGTAAGGCAATGTACACAAAACGTTAATTATACCCTAACGAATACGATTTTTTTGAATAAACAAGTTTTTTTATCGGTACTCTTAAGCATAATGGTTAGGTGATCAGAGTATGTACGATCTTAAAATTTGAACCCCAGCTGGAGCAATGTTTTGCAAAATTACTCAACAGGCATTCTAACTAATAAGAATAAATATATTTTATCCAATTAGAATTTCTGTTACTGTTGCTATCACAGCCTATCAACAGTCCACTGCTGAACATAGGCCTCGCTCAGTAGATTGCCTCACAGGAGAGTATATTTGTCATAGTTGCCACTCTTGACAGGCAGGTTGGCAACCTCAGTTTTTTTTTAGTTATTATTAGGAAGACGCTGGACCGCCTGGTTTATTTTTCCTAGATTACAATTTCAAATTTCAATTTCGGCGTCGACATATCAAATGACAAACAATATGTTTATTTATATAATATATTACATAATAACACACAATTCTTATGACAATAAAAAAAACTAAAAACTAAAAGTATGAAACAGGCGTACTCCTTGCAGGCGTAGTTCCTAAAACCCTGAGGGAGATTTCTCGTTAAATGGCTATACTTAGCCATTGGGTGAAAATAGAACCAGCCTTCTTGTAGTCAATGATTGAACAAAAAAAAACATTTTTATAATTAAACAAAAGTTCAAAACCCGCATTCGCACACACACGCACACGCACGCTCACACACACATAAACGTTGTAATCGAAAATATAATGAGTAATTACTTCAGACTATTCGGAAGTTGTCACTGTGGTTAGTAATCAGCTTAGTAGTGAAATAGATTCGGTTTGGAGTGGACACATGCACTCTCACTCGCACTCACTAACTCACACAGGCACACATAAAACATTTGCTACTTTAGGTATTATTCTTCAATGGCGCAATACGATCTTCTTTGCTCTCTCAACTTTGAGCATTACAACGTTGCTTCGAAAAGCTGATAATTTTTTATTACTTTTTTAGAATAAAACTGCCTAATTTGTTAAATTAATTAAGACAAGTATTTTAAATACGTGTATATTCCGATAAACACCCACACAAAATTGGATTTCGTCTTCAACTTAGAACTGCAGCTTCATAATCAGTATCAGTTCAATGTTTTCCTTACTTTCCTATATTTTATATCCGATGCTTTCAATTCCGGTGTCAATATGAAATATTTCAACCAAATTTTACAATCTTTTTTATGGTAAAATTATATATCAAATGAAAAGCTACTTGAAAAATAATTAACGGAAAAGCACAAATTGTTGCCAACTTGGCTCAAGTAACGAAGTATAATTAAAGCGTTAGTGGAGAAATAAAGAGATAAATGGTGTTATTAAACCTCTTGAACTGTGTCTGGAAAAGAATGCCAATTTAATGTCACAGCAGTTAATTTTCAGTTAAACTTGAAATTTTATTTAAATAAGACTTATCCTTTCATTGTGCAATTGAATCACCGTCTTTCTTGCAGATTGGAGCATCAAGGTCGTAGTAGACGGTGCACGCTCCAATTACAAGCCTATTAACGCTGGTGTTCCACAAGGGTGCGTGCTATTACCAACGCTGTTTTTCTGCATAATATAAATTATATATTGCAAACCGGTAACATCCATTGCTACGCGGATGACAGCGCTGGCGTTGCTCTATACACCGGCTGTGCCAATATATCTCGGAAAAACGTCACCGGGTACCGGAACCAACTTGTGTCTGAAGTACGCGGTAGAGCCATTCTGCAGCTATATTAGTAGTATAGTTGTAGAACGAATGGGGGAGGACTACGCTCTCACAGAATACCCGCAGTGTAACACTGCTGTGTTCCGTATAGTGAGTGTAGAGAACCGGATATTCCATTTTGCTGGAAAAGTAATATTCCAAATTAGTCCGCACGGGTGAAACCGCATCTGCATTTTTGTTACTTACTGAGGATATATGTGGATGTCTATGGGTCAAAGCAACCACTTACCATCAGGTGGACTGTGTGCTCGTTTATCACCCTATCCTATATAAAAAGTCGAGTCTTTGCTGAACAATCTCGGATTGGGTACGAATGAATCTAGTCCAGTTAAAACACAGAAGATTCAATTTTGCGCGTTCACCGATAAAAAGAACCACTTTGTCGTATGTCCTCAGTTTCAAGGCACTCCCCTTGTTGCCTCACCCAGTATCAGAATCCTCGGAGTCGACATATTAAATGATGTGTATTTTCGTGGTCACTTGAAAGAAAAGGCCACATTTGCCTCTAAAAAGCTTGGCGTGCTCAGCAGAGCGGGAAAGTATTTCATGCCGGCTAACCGCCTGTTACTTTACAAGGCGCAGCTTCGGCTACTCATGGATTACTGCTCCCATCTCTGGGCCGAGGCTCCCCGGTGCCAGCTAAGGAGCTGGCACAGGATGCGGACAAGTGGCCTTCCACACAGCGCAGAACATCTCGAATCGTCGACGACCGAGTCCTCTTCAATCGGCTCGACTTACTGTCGATGCAAAGATATGTTGCATTCCTTTGCATTTTCTGTCGCATATACAACGGGGAGTACTCTGAGGAATTGTTCGGATTAATTCCAGCTTAAATTATTCTAATTTTTTTATTAAAAAATTGCGGATGCGTTTTACATACATAAATTGCACAAGAAAAAGCATCCAATCAAGGCTATACAAACAATTGTTCCGTCTGGGAATCAAACCCGCGATCCCATAGCACCATAGCTAAATGCTCACCATGGCTAAATGTCAATGCGTCCCACAGTCATTTACATTGTCGAAGGCTTCCGTTAGCTTAGTTTTATTTGTTTATTAAATATATTTATCAAATAAAAAATAAAAAATCTGAAACAATAAGTACATAATTTGTAAATTTTATTAATTTGTACTCTTTAAGATATTAAAGCGTTCAGTTTAATTTCACGTTTTATTTATCGTCGTAACTTATAGATACTAACTTGGGTGTAAAACGGAGTGTGGTGTTAGACATAACGATGTTATAGTTAATCCGGTGTACATTCAGCTTTTTTCTCCGATCTACACGTCTTACTGAATCTTGAATTTTTGCAGTGGCAAGCAAGTTTTGGATTTAATTTTATTAATTTAAGGATTCGAAATATGTGGTAGTACTGAGCTGCATTCTCTATTGAATTAAGCATTTTTTTAAATTTCAATGCCTTCACATATCAAGGAAGAAATCGATGTTCGCATTCGCTAATCGATATATTATAGTTTACATATCCTATGTAGACTACAATCTATCAAACTTGATGTAATGTAGGGGGTCGTCTTAAATATGATCACAGAATGCAGATTATCGTTTTTGTATTATCATGTTTTTGATTTTATATTAGTAAAGAAATATTTAATAAATTATTTGTTATATTATTTACGTCTATCTCTTTGTAAAGTTTCACTTTAATTAAGCTGTACAAAAAACGGGATAGGAAGGAATACGGAAAGTATA